TTTCTACGGACTACCGAAAATCTGCAAAGAAAACAACCCGCTTCGACCTATCTTATCGCTTCTAGGATCACCTACGTATGAACTTTTAAAATATCTTTGTAACATTCTCCATCCATTAGTCAAAAATCACCTCACACCATCAAAAATGCCACCACTTTCCTCGCCCGTATTGAAAACATTAAACTACAACCAGAAGAAATCATGATATCCTATGACGTGACATCACTCTTCACATCCATATCACTAGACATAGCCGAACAAATTACAAACGAACTGCTCACAAACGACAAAACTTGGCAAGCTACAACACAACTAGACAAAAATGACATCCTAGACTTCCTCAACCTTTGCCTCTCCAATGAATTCGCCTCATAAAACACATACTACAGACAACTTCCAGGCACACCAATGGGGTCACCACTATACACCCTCCTCGCAGAGGCAGTCATGTATCACCTCGAAAAACAATCAGTCACAAACAACACAGACATCAGACTATAGAGATGATATGTCCACGACATCTTTGCCATAGTCAAGAAAGACAAAACTGAACAAGACCTACATACCATAAACAATATCACAAGGAACAAAACCTTCACTAAAGACGAAGAACACGACAAACAACTTACTTTCCTCGACATCCTACTAACCAGAACAGATGACGGTACACTAAACACACAAGTATACTGCAAAACCACCCACACAGACCAAATACTCCATTTCAACAGCAATCACCCAACACAGCATTCGAACACTTTTCAACAGGATAAACATTCATTGTAATACTGAAGAAGCCAAAAAAACAGAACGCAACTAAATATACTCCACATTTATTAAAAACAATTACCCTAGAAACTTCATAAACAAAACTATAAACAAAATACAAAACAAAACACAACCGACAAGAGCAACAAGAAACCGGACAAAACAATAAAAGTCGTGACATTACCACACATAAATGGAACATCAGAAATGACTGCCAGATTTTTTCGACCATTTAATATTAACGTCGCCTACAAACCTACACAAAAACTGAAATCGTGTTTCACGAAACATAAAAGATACCAGGCCATAGCCTTTGTTCCCATGACCGGGGAAAGCAGCCAGTTTTACCAAACATAAAAACAAACCATCAATTCGTGATACAACTGACGCGATCTACATGATACCATGTAAAGACTGCTCAAAGCAATACATAGGACAAACATCAAAGAAAATCGAAACAAGACTCACAGAACACAAAAACGCCATAAAACGACGAAATCCGAACTCACTACCGGCAGAACACACCCATGGAAACAACCACACATTCGACTGGACAAAAACTAAGGTACTCGTACTTGCAAAGACTAAACGCGCCCGTGAATTTAAAGAAGCTTGGTACAGTAAAGACAACGACACAATAAACAGACATATCGACATACCCCTCATATACTCACAACTAAAGAAAAAGGACAATAAAACTAAAAAACAACAACAAAAGTACAACATCACTCTATAATAATATTAACACCGAACATAATCACAATACATCAAAACCCATGGCAACGCAATTCACCCCATCCAATCACATTACTCCACCCGCTAATCCAATTAGACGCTCTATGCGTCTACAAGCTAAAAGCAAGTGTAAATAGATAAATTCTCTTTCCGATGAAGGCTCGAAGCAACGAGTCAAAAGCTTAATAAAATTATTTGTGAAATCCGGAGAAACTTTTATTTTTGAACAATATAATACCTGGATTACCAATCTTTAAACAGAATTATTCACATGTATATGCTCTTCTTAACTTCTAATATCCAAACAACATAGTATGCACAGTCTCGGCGTTGGCAGTTAGTAAGCCATCTTGTCTGCGATTGTTATTTTGCTACTTTTGACATTGTATGACAAATAATGGATGACATACTTCTTTCACATGAAAACTGGCTGGATTCATGATCGATTTTAACGATCATGGCTAAACATATTTAAACAATTCGAGCAGGATTTACACAGTTTTGACGCTTCAGTGAATTTAGAGTAAAATAGTTCTTACTAGATTTTGCAGGATATTTCAACACACCTATTCATATGGCATTTTCCCAACTACTTGTATATATATGTACATATATACATACATTGTTTGAGTGTTCAAGTACGACATTCACAATTGATGCAAAATTTATCAATTCATAAAATATTTGACATACCGCGCTAGTTATGTTTGTGACTGCCTGCCATTCGTGGGGGAATATTATGTGGAAGAATAAACAAAATATTTCATTTTGGAATTAAAGTCTTATAGCATCATTTCATATAATATATTGTCTAGTAAAGTTAAAAGTCTAAATATGAAATTTTGAATTATCTGGCTTGCAGTGATGTACTGTGCAACCACAGGCATAGGTATGTTTGTTGTTTTCAGATAACATCTGTAATTGCCACTTAACATAATTAAATCACAAATACAAAACAATTTCTAAGTATTCTTACGTCTAAATACAATCAAAACAATAATTAAACAAGTCACGTCTTGTTATTTTTCTTGCCCAAAGCGGAAAATTTTGCCAATTAATTCCGGACTTGTCAAAATTAGTCGACGTTGTTTGAAAGACGCTTATAAAAATGTTTATTTGACTCAGAGGTTAGACATGAAACATGTCCAGTAAGTTCTATAGAAGTTAAAAATAAACATCACAAATTCCACAGGCATTAGTGCGAAAAGTAAATTGGTTGTCAATATTCGCCAACGCAATTACTGTAGCTAAAGTTAACAGAGTTTTTGTTGAAGATTTTGTGGAGAGTTGAAGAGGGCGAGAAATGCAACGTTTTGTTTTTACATTCTTACAGTAAGGTGGATTTAAGCAACAGGATGTTTTTTATTGAGATTTTTTTCGTAAATTTTTGGATTGGAGTTATACTTCCTGTTGGTTTTATGGTGACTTATTTACAGGCATCCATACAAATACTTGATTAGCTCTTTAAAATATGTTCATCTGACGATAGATTTGAGAGACGACCGTTTACAGAGTTTGGTAGTTTCCAAAGTACACAAAATTTAACGAAACATTGCTTTCTTTTTATGTTATACCGAGTTTTATATCCATTAATAACAAAGTTTTGTATTTGACTTTCACAATCGATGCAAAATGTAAATATTCATAGGAAATTTGACATACTGCGCTATCTTTGTGACTGCAAGTCGTATGCGTGGGAATATTATGTGAAATATGAGAAAAATGTTTCATTCTCGTTTCAAGTCTAAGTAGAACAATTCCACTTAGAAATATTGTGTCGTGAAGTTAAAAGTTTAAAATATGAAAACTTTAGCATTGCAGTGATGTAATGTAGAGTTCCAGGTATAGAGACGATTATTATATTCAGATTATATTTCTGCCACGTAACATAATTAAGTTACAAATACAAAGCAAATCTTTCACTTTCTAAATAGCTTGCGCAACGTTAAATTCTGCTTATGAAAATTACCGGTCGAATAATTTATATAATTATCATGAAGAGTTTCAGCGCAGTTTGAAACAAACTTTGAGAGGAAAGTCACTGAAATATAAAGAGGATTTTTCAAAAGTTAGATATTTTTTAAAACTAGCAGGGTGTTAAGCCTTTTCAAATAAAACAATTTTAGGTGTTAAACCAGTTCTGTCGTGCAATTTCTTCGTGTGAATGTCAACAATGGCGGAATCGACATCTTCAAGTTCTTCGGAAGGCAATGAATTGAATGAAATGAGCGAACAAATCCAGCCAGTTCGTGTTACGTTTGATGATGTGTCAACAGCTCAGTCAAGAATCCGAGATAGCGTGCCTCAAACTCCTTGCGAGGTAACATAATAAATTTTATAAAATAACAAATTTAAACAAAACTTCATTATCAAATAAAAACTTACTTTAGTATGATAAAAAAATTATGTGAAATGCAGTTTGATTACTGTCATTTAACATTTTATTTGCTTGTTGACTTTGATTGATTTTTTACTTAAATACTTATGAAATCATAGTATCGAGCATATTTTCTATTTAGATACGTTTAATTCAATTTCGTAATTATAAGCAAGTTACAAAATATCACAAAGCGGACAAGTTTTACTGAGCCAATAAATCCTAGACTTGTGACAATTAGTTGACGTAGTTTGTTAGACGCTTCTAAAAGATGTTTATTATACTTAGAGGTTAGAAAAATTATGAGTCAAAAATGAAGAATACTGACCAGTTACGGCCAGGGGCAGACTTAGACTTTAGCAAACGTTGCAAAAGCAACAGCCAGAATTCTCGAAAAATATCAGTCGCCAAATAATTGCATAAAGCAATTTGTGTTACAAATTTTGTATTGATGTGCAATGAAAGTAAATTCAATAAATTGTTAAATTGAAGCTATTCATTGATTAACATGAAGTATTTGCTCATAAATCAAGTAAACGCTATCGCATCGTTCAGAATCACCCTGATTTGGATAATGATGAACTCGCCACAGTATGTTGCTTAATTTAGCGAAGTTTGGCTACAGTCAGGCTTGCTTTATCAATAACATTGCTAATTGTAGCAACAGTCGAACGATTCTTAGCCAATCATATCACAAATCACGGCAACAGTGGCAATAGTTCGATACCATTGCGTAATTTGCTTTATATAACATAATTTTTGGTGTATGTACAACTTATTTAAGCTTTTTTGGCAACATTCACAATGTCATCTCGGGAAACGTTGAAACAACTTCATTTGTTAAATAAACCGTTTTCCTTTGAGGAAAAGGCTACCATGAATATGATTTTATCACTTCGGCAAGAGTGCAATAGAATCATTGCAGCTAAACAGAGTAAGGCAAATGTTAAAGAATTAAAGGGGTAGTCAGACCTTAACACAACTTTCACTCATATGAAAGTGTATATTGTTCTTACCTCTCTCGTGAAATTCTAGGTTTCCAATTCAAATTTAACTCGAGAAATAATGCCTTAAATGTGTGTATTTTTGCCTCTTGTTTGATCGCCATTGTGTACATGCAAGCGAAGCCGCAGTCCAGCAGCGGTTTCTTGTCGTTACGTCACTGCGCGGTGATCGTTGTCAACATTGGACAAAATATACTAGCAAAAGTAGAAATTACGCATAGGCATATTCATAGTTGTATTTTATTTTCAAAGTTTTTAAATTATTTTGCGCAATGGATACGAATTACTCAAACGATTCCTCTAGTAATTATTCTAGAAACGGTGTTTCAAACTACGAAGAAATGATTAACGATCAAAACATGATTCAACCATATGCTTATGAGCCGATTGAAACAGACTCTAGCGACGAGCCTATGGACGACGCCGACGAAGTTGCCGCTGCATCATAGAATGAATCCGCCAAACCGCGCATTGACGTAGCGACGAAAAACCGCTGCTGGACGGCGGCTTCGCTTGCAAGTACACAATGGCGATCGAACAAGAGGCAAAAATAAACACATTTAAGGCATTATTTCTCGAGTTAAATTTGAATTGGAAACCTAGGATTTCGCGAGAGAGGTAAGAACAATATACACTCTCATATGAGTGAAAGTTGTGTTAAGGTCTGACTACTCCTTTAAAGCGTAAAATTTGTTTGTTTACTTTAAAACTTTAAGACACCTGTTCAAAATGCAAATTTTTACCAAAATTATAAATGTTTTTTTATCAAGACAACGACAACATGTCAAATGGCAACAAGGGGGGAAAAATATCACCGACGAAGATTTGAAAATGGTTACAATTTAAAAACGCCTCAAGATAAAATATTAACAGATGGTGAATTTAGATTACATGTTTGTAATTGGGCTTTAGATCATTATTTTGGTGGCACAAATACATCTGATTTTCTTAATGGGAAGTCACATTTATCAAAAATCAAATACTTTGAAGAATGGAATAAAGCTGTAAAAACCGAAACACAAGCAAACAGAGATAGAATACGTTCTAAGAAAAATCAATTGAAACAATCAAGAGAGGAAAAAAATTTAGAACAACAAAGAAATAACAACGATTTTTATAAATTACAAGGCAAAATAGAGGAAAGAGAAAAACGACACCGTGAAGAAGTAACACAAGCTGCAAGAAGAGGTAGAAATGAAGCTTCTCCTGAAATTGAGAGACAAAATCAACAAGAAAATCAACAGTCTCGACAACAGCAACAAACTTTTACTACAACTAATGATGATGACGAAGAACAACGACTTCAACAACAAGAGATTATATATATTCCTAGTGATAACGAAGAACAACATAGCGAAGAAAATCAAACAGAAGTACAACAACAATTTAGAAATGATGATTTTATAACACATTGTAGAAATAATGCACATGATATTTCATTTTTTTTAAATCATTTAGAATATTTTAAAAAATGTAGATTAAAGAAAGAATTTATTGATGATTGTTTCAATCATGAAAGTCAAGTTCAAGCCTTAATAGCTAAATTAAAAGCAACGAATCGACAGCAAAACAATAGATTTCAACCATATTGAAAATAAAAATGTAATTTAGAAATATGACTATTATATACAGTTTTGTAAGAAGTTCATTTTACAAAAATGATATATCACACTATTTGTCTTTAATAATTCCAACTTCTATTAACTTTTGTGATATAATAGAGTTGTCTTCTTGGTTAAGAATGAGACTAAAGATCTCATCAACTTTCTCTTTTCCCTATACGTGTTGGTAGTTATAATATCGATAAAATGGAACAAGTATTGCGAGAAGATAATCGATGTATACATTTATTGCCGCTAGAAGAAGAAACTGCACGTGAAAATCGTCGTATTGATAACGATATTGATACAGTGTAACAAGCAGACGCGTCCAATCAACTGCAGAATATGCATAATGTCATGGGGTCCGTGGTGTTTGTAATGAGGGTTTTAGTACAAGTAAGTGCCAGATTAAGTGGAATACTGGTGAACAGTGATGTCACATCAAAAGACACTAGTATATAGTTGTCCGGTATTTGTATAGTGCACAGTTTTTTAATGAAAGTTACAGTGGATTGTAGCTTGTGTTTTGATTTGTTTGAAAGTGGTTGCAGTATATCAGTCAAGTACTTTGAAAGTTCTTAAGTGTGCGAACCACAGAATGATACAATTGGTCGCATGGGTATTTGTGGTTTGTGAAGTTTTGGTAGTCCGTATCGTCTGGGTGGTCGTGGTACTGAACATCTGTGTTGATAATAAATACGTTCAGATATAATGTTAGATTTTCCCATAGAGAAGATCTTGCTGTTAAGTTTGCGTACTAGTGATGGTGCTGGGTCTCGTTTGAGTTGTTCGTACGTTTGTCTGTCGTTAACAAGGCTGTCAATTTTGTTAAAGTAATCATTCCTGTCCACGACCACAGTCACGCGTCCTTTGTCTGCTGGTAAATGACGATGTTGTTGTCGTGTTTTAGTCGTTTGAGTGCTTGTTGTTCGTCCTTTGTCAAGTTGCTGTCACGTATAGAGGACGATTGTAAGGTGGACAAACACCACGGACGTACTGCCATTATCGATAGACGACATTATGGAGCTACTGGAGCTCTGCCTCACCTCGACTTACTTCCAGTACAAAGGTACACACTACAAACAATTACATGGGAAAGCAATGGGCTCCCCCGTTCCTGTTGAAGTTGCTGAAATTGTAATTCAATCTATAGAGGAAAGGGCGCTCACGACTTACAAATATGCACTACCTTTTTGGTTTCGCTACGTAGATGACACAATCACAGCACTACATGCAGACGACATTGATGACTTTCACATTCACATTAACAAACAGAACAGCCACATACAATTTACCAAAGATGCCAAAGAAAACGGAATTCTTCCTTTTCTCGACTGTTTGTTAAGTCATGACAATCAAAAACTACGAACAACAGTTTATCGCAAGCCAACACATACTGACTGACTACTAGACCAATCATCTTACAACCATACGTCGCACAAAACCACCACAGTCAGAACATTAACAAGACGTGCACAAATCATATGTGATTCACCGGACGCTCTACACAACGAAAACAACTATCTCAAACGTGCTTTTGAAAAAAACAACTATAACTCTGACTTTATCAAACGCAACACTTACAAACCCAACGAACCCAACGAAACGACCAACTCATTGACAGCAGCATCGATACCTTACATCAAAGATACCTCTGAGACTACCTCGCGTATCTTACGACCATACAACATACGTGTCGCACATAAACCAATCACAACGTTACGACAAGTACTAACGAACATAAAGGACAAAGAACAACCCAACGAACGACAAGGTGCAGTTTACAAAATAAACTGCTCCGACTGCCACGCCTCCTATATCGGGGAAATTGGCAGGAACTTAAACATAAGACTTACTGAGCACAAACGAGCTACAAAGAAACAAGACAAAACTAATCACATTGCCGAACATCACCGAATCACAAAGCACACATTGACTGGGACTCAACAAAATGCATTACTTACAGTACTGACTATAGACAACGTCTTACATTAGAAAGTTGGTATACCAACTTGGAACCAACCCCCCTGAACAGATCACAGGAATTACCGGCACCTTACAAACGACTTATTCACAATAAAAACAAACGATCAACTAAAAACATTATACTTCACACTAATTCACAATGACAATACACATTTCCTGTACACACAATACAATGACGTAAGAACCAGATAACAAATACGGCTAACCTGACGTTTACTCCTCATTTGACTGTGAAGCTGACTACCATTAAGGTTGTCGAAACGTCAGTCAACAACAACAAAAACAGTCCTTCTCAGGACTATACCAACCTGAACGATTGACATTTACAAACATGTTTATATCTATAGTAGTCATTAGGCAAGCGTATCAGATGAGGTCTGTCTAGTAAACTCCACATATATATATATATATATATATATATATATATATATATATATATATATATATATATATATATATATATATATATATATAGTGATAATATTATCCCTGAAGAGTGAGAAATCACGAAACAGGCTTGTCGGGATGAAATTGTAGTTTTTGTGTATTTTCTTCTTCTCATCAATATTTACGCTCTGCTCTTAAGCATCGAGCACTGTATTTACGGAGATTCAAATAAACAAAACTTCCTATATATATATATATATATAAAAGATAAACGTTTCTCCGGATTTTTTAAATGATTTTTATTGATTTTTAATGATTTTTAAAATCCGGAGAAACGTTTATCTTTTATATATTCAATGCCTGGATTACAAATTTTCAAACTTATATATATATATAAACGACCCCTCGATATCAAACGACCTTCTACACAAAGCCCTGGAATTTTCTTCCGAATTTGTAGAAATAACAGAGAAAGACAAGCGTATAATCACACAAGCTAAGAATTCCCTATTATTCAACAGATCTGAAGCATGGTGCAAGAAAGGCAGCAGCTCAAATTTCGACGTAACAATGGGTAGCTTTGACGGAGCGGAAACATGCCAGTTGGTAGGCTCATTTCTGCTCTCACAACTTCCTACAGACTACAGAAATAACATTGGTTTATATCGCGACGATGGCCTCGGTGCATTCAATGCTCCCCCTAAGACGATAGAAAAAATCAAGAAACTACTGTGCCGAATATTCAACGAAAACAACCTGAAATTAACCATTGAAGCAAATAAGAAATCCGTGAACTTCCTTGACATCACCTTTGATTTACGATCTGACTCCTTTAAGCCATACAACAAACCTGGAAACATTCCTCAATACATAAACATTCACAGCAACCACCCTCCATCTATCCTACGCAGAATCCCGGAAACCATCAACCAACGGCTCTCAAGAATCTCATCCAACAAGCAATCATTCGACTCAAGCATACACCCATACCAAGAAGCACTAACAAAAAGCGGCTTTAACTACAAATTACAATACAGCCCACAAACCACACGAAAGTCAAAAAACAGAAACAGAAATAGAAACATCACCTGGTACAATCCACCATACAACTCCAATGTCCACACAGACATCGGACACAAGTTCCTTAGTATAATCAACAGGTCCTTTCCAAAAAACCATCCACTCAGCAAAATCTTCAACCGAAACACACTTAACCTAAGTTACATTTGCCTGCCAAACATCGATACGATAATTTCTACACACAATAAGACCGTTTTAACCAAAGAAGAAACGATGATAAACGCCACCACAGACAGAAAATGCAACTGCCGGAAAAAAGAGGAATGCCCACTAAAAGGAGAATGCCAAACCAAAGGGGTAGTCTACCAAGCCACAGTCACCAACACACTAACCAAACACAAAGAAACCTACATCGGTCTAACGGAGAATACTTTTAAATCACGCTACTTGAACCACACCAGCTCATTCCGAAATAAATCAAAACAACACTCCACAGAACTTAGCAAACACATATGGAAACTAAAAGACTCTAACACGCCATACACCATCAACTGGAATATTGTAAAGAAATCACAACCTTACTCAAACAAAACCAAACGCTGTAATTTATGCCTCTCGGAGAAATTCTTCATCATCTTCCACCCAGAACACAGCTCGCTCAATAAACGAAACGAACTCATTTCCGCATGCCGCCATCGTAATAAACACTTACTAACGTCATTAATGTAATACTATATCACCTAAACACTTAATTATTCATCTTAGTGTATAAGTTCCGTTGTGCTATAGTGCTATATTTATTCTCCTGACGAGTGTGGCAAGTTAAACAACTGCCATACGAAACAGCTCTGTAGTGAATAAATTTCGATGAAGTAATTCGTGGTTTATTATTTTATTTTCAATTATATATATATATATATATATATATATGATAATGATAAGGATTCTCTGGATTTGTTTTAAATTTTTATTAAGCTTTCAACTCGGTGCTTCGAGCCTTCGTCAGAATGTGACAATATATTATTTACAAAGACTTTGTAGGCGTTTGGAGCGTCTGATTGGTGGGTTATTGTTTGAGTTGATATTATTGGGTGGTATAAGATGCGTTGTCATGGTTTCGGGTGTATCGATTACGTTAATGAAATCCGAGTGTTTTATTTAAGTCGTTGTGTTATTAGTTTGTTGTTTTGGTTTTGTCTTTAGTTGTGAATAGATGATGGGGATGTCAATATGTCTGTTAATTGTGTTGTTGTCTTTGCTGTACCATGCCTCTTTGAATTCTCGTGCGTGTTTTGTTTGTGGGCGTCCAAGAAGTTGTGTTTTTGTCCAGTCAAATGTGTTGTTGGTATCGTAGGTATGTTCTGCTGGTAGTGATTTTGGGTCGCGTCGTTTGATGGCATTCTTGTGTTCAGTGAGTCTTGTTTCAATTTTCTTGGACGTTTGTCCTATGTATTGTTTGGGGCAATCTTTACATGGTATCATGTAGACCGCGTTGGTTGTGTCGAATGTCGTTGTTCGGTCTTTATGTTTAGTGAAGTATGATTTGAGTTTGTGTGTTGGTTTATGTGCGATGTTTATTTTGAATGGTCGGAGTAGTCTTGATGTCATTTCTGATGTTCCGTTTATATATGGTAATGTCACTATTTTACTGGTTCGTCTGTATCTTCGTTAGGTTTTTCAGTTTGTGGTTTGTTGTGTATTTTGTT